AAGCCGCAACTGTGGTCTCCAGGCCTGTCAATATAAGCTCGTTTGCCAAACGATCACTCATATCATCCATACGGCTGCCTGCATCAAATTTGATAGCACAGTCTCGGAGGCTATTTCATCCAACATAGATAGCTCCTGCCATATTCTTGCCCTTGCCAAGAATTGCGACAACCTCCAACGGCTTGTCATCACGAGCACCGCCTACGTGACCCCACCTCAACAAGGTCCCATCTACGAGAGTCTGGTAGACCTACCTTCCCCCGCAAGTCAAATCGCCTCAGAATTGAGAAATGGAGTTCTTGGAAAGGAGGAAGCCATTGCCGCCACCGGCCATCCAAACATCTACAGCCTATCAAAGTGCTTGGCTGAACACCTGATCTGCGAGACAAGGGGTTCTCTTCCGGTCACCATCGTCCGCCCAAGTATCATTTGCGCTGCGATTCAGAACCCATCACCTGGCTGGATAGACAGCCGGGCTGCATTTGGAGGCCTGGTTCTGGGCTTCGGTACTGGATCCCTTCGAGTTATTGACGGGCGGCCAGAAACAAAGCTTGACATCGTACCCGTTGATTTGGTCGCGAATTGTCTCATTTACGAGACGTTCCGCAGGGACATCCAAAGTCTCGATCGACGTAACGTACGTATTGTCTTTTCCGTGGCAACTATGGAGAAGTCCCTCACTCTGGGGGATGCATGCAAGATGCTGGAGCTATATTTTGACGGGCGTTTCAGATATATTGGCCCCCAGGGACCCATTCTGGACCTCTACCAGCTCTTTCACCACTATATACCCTCGCGTGTCTACGCAACAGTTAACCGCATCAAAGGAAACGAAATAGGGGAAAGACAAGCCATGAAAACATGGAAAGTTGTTCGTGGTATGAACACTGTCTTCAAGCCTTACACGAATTATACGCATGATTTCCGACCTGAAGGTCCAAGTGCTGATTTCGACCCGGCAAAATACATGCATGTTATTTGCCAAGGCGTGCATACGAATCTCATGCAGTCTAAGCTCTGAAACCAGTCATTGCTCGATGGCCTTTGAGGGAAAAAGTACAAGCTTTGTAGTAGCGATAGAAATAACAGATGCAATTGATATGCCATAGACTTTTGATGTCTGGATACGGTATGGCAGTCTCAATATCCTGTATATTTAGCACAGACCTTCATCCTAGTTGAAGGGCTCCAACGCGAAACAAACAAATCTACCTATTGGAAAACTCAAACGCTACATACATGACATTAGACTTAGCTTTCCGGACCGGTAAGAGAGCCAAGGATAGATGAGAATACTTAAGAACCACCCCAAGGAACATACATGTCCTTTGAGAACAGGGAAGTAGTTGCTTAGCAAAGAGGGAGGGCACTGTTATTCAGGTTACTGTCCTGTTTAGTGAAAGTGAGCGAAGCAAAGGCCGATACCTGCGCGTGAGAGCCAGAGCAGCATCGCGACTCCGGAGCAATGTTATACTCTATATTACAACGATGTGTCAGGATCCATAGTAGCACCTACGATGTCAAAACCCAAGGCCTGGAGAGTTCATCCATAACAGATCCTATTGAATCTATAGTTGCGATCACTTGCACAGTTACCAGTGTGCAAGCCAAACCGTCACAAAAGCCTGAGCTCGTCAGAGGACTCCTTCTAGGTCGGGATGTGCATAACCGAATTACTTGCCACGCCATAGCGATATCGATCCCCAAGTTGTGGGGAGGTCTTCCTTTGAATGATGTTTCCTGCCGAGAGTTGAATGAATTATGAAAGCTGGTTGTCAACGTGTGAAAGATGTGAACAAGAGCTCGGATCATGTAATCCATGAGTACTCTCTTTGCTG